GCACCGCAACTCGTTGTAAGGAGCTGCGTTCGAATCCCAAAGTTGCCAGGATCCGCTGGTCAGCATTTCCCTGGTCAAGATCCGTTGTCTTCAGAACCATGCCTTCAATACGTTCAATTTACTTTAAGCTTTCTTTCCACATGGAGCTGACACGTCGTTACATCACTGAGAAACTGTTCAAATTCGCTTCCTCCTTTTTTCCCAACTGATTACTAGTTCCCCCCCCAAAAATAATGTCCCGATGAATGATGATATTGATTTGCCATTAATTGTCAATTTTTATTTCGACCTCATGATAATTTCCCTCCGGAGAACAATCATTAACTAAAGAGGAAAGATCTCCTCAGCCATGCTAACGACAGTTTAACAAGAATATATTATTAAGTTTTTAAGTTTTTAAGAAAAGCAACCACGTGTTCCAGCTGTAAACTCGGTTTTTGGATTTTGAACATTTCCCGACAGAAAATCAATTCCGGTGCAGCTCAGGTCAGTGTTACAAAAAGTCACATCGGTAAAAATCATAAAACGAAGCCAGACAGGACCAAATCCAGAACAAGACTAAAGAACTGACAAGTTTTCTTTAAATCAATCAATATTTGAATAATTACCAAGTATATTTAATTGTATGGGTTAATTTAAAAAAACCAAACTAAATCGAAAGTTTGAGGTTAAGGTAGTAACCAAAATCTTTCTGACTGCATACAATTGTTGGATGGATAAAATAAACTCATTTACGACGGTACGAGAGTATTGAAGTACGTGACTAATTGCTCGCACATCCGTGAAGATGGATTGACATTTGCGACATCTCGAGTAATGGCAGGGCCGGCAATATCAGCTTCCCTCATCACTAGACAATGAAGCGTTTGTAATTGTCTCATCCTTTCAAAGTGACAAGACACCGAGGAAGCGACAAGACCACACCGACTCTTGTATCGCCGGTGAAATGTTCATTTGTCTGGATATTCTCTTACATCTTGTTCCTGATCTGTTTTCTTGTTTGAGACACCATTGATGTAATGAGAGTAGTTCCATAACATTTGATTTGTATGACTTATCACAACGGCAATGATGAGTAAATGTGACACAACATCTCAAACGTATGTCTTTTATTTATTTATTTTTATTCGGCAATAACAAAGTAATTACACGTTTGTAAAAGAGGGAAATCTTGGATGATTTTGTGTATATTTTTTTAAATTTTCTGGTGCAAGATATTAATATCTCTTAAGCAGAGGAAATATCTGCTATTAGACAGCTTTACACTTCTTCACCAACGAGGCTTTTTATGTCCACAATGTCATTCGTGACCCCTTATCTTATAGGTTACGGAAATTGGCGAGTGGTGCTGAATGCCCCCGACTGTTTATATGGACAATGTAAGATATTTAGTATCTCGAAGAACCTAATGTGCTCCTAACATGAGACACAAAGAGTTGGCTATTGCGAAGAACAATAATCACTTTGTCGAACTGATCTCAAGTAGATTTGTGCTGGAGTATTCTGAACTACATCGTAAGGCGCGCACATTGTTTTCACCAAGAACAACATGCTCTTGACAGGCTTTGATCATGATAGGCCTACAACCCGGCACATAGAAATGACGAATTACACACAAACTAAAGAAATAATTTTATTCACTTTCAGAAGCTTTATTGATTAATTTAAGAAATCGGTTTGCATTGGTCACATGACGTTACCGTAAGGCGTGTCTCTCGAGTTCCGCCATTCTTAACTACCATCCCCTCAAACAAAAGTTAATTTATTATTTAATATCTACCCACCGTCATCCTGGATATGTATCACCTCGCCCTAGGAAACACGCATTTTACCAGAAGAAGAAGGAAAGTAACTCTGCTTATTGCTTTGTTCTGGCGTCTGTTAAGCCCCCCCCGATTTTACAGGGTTTGAAGCTGCACCCTCCCTCTGAAGCTGAGCACTGGGATGAGAAATATACAAAAAGGTATGAACGGCCTGTCCCTAAAGACAAAATGGTTCCAAACTATGGCTCCATTTCATACACGAATGCCTATCGAAATTGTAGATAATATATTAAGTTTATACATACGTATTTCTGTCATTATATTGTGCTCAATCCCGGATTGGAATATGTCCCCAGCAACCTATGCCGATCGAAAGAGGCTACCAATTGGATAGGATGGTCAGGTTCTGTGACTTCGATAATTGTATGTCATCTAACCCCGAAGCCGTGGATTGTTGCTCACAGTATCGATCACTGGTCTGTTGTTCTAGACTCAATTATTTACAGGCCACAGGACAAAAAATAAACAAAGCTATAGACGGACGCCAAACAAGGGGCAAAACTTTGAGAAGTGAACTGTAAAACTAGTTGAGTATTATGTTTTGAAAATCACGGTAGAGGTTTTTGTTTTGCTTCATGGCAGGGAATTACGCCCACTGGTTATTATTGTGTCTTAATACCGTGTATGTACATCAACTAAACTTGACTGATGATCTAAAACAAAGAACCTGCATGGTCCCGAAATACTCTTCTCTGAACTACGGTTTCCTATCGTGTATCTTCATCAACTTAACTTGACTGATGATCTAAAACAAAGAACCTGCATGGTCCCGAAATACTTTTCTCTGAACTACGGTTTCCTATCGTGTATTTTCATCAACTTATCTTGACTGATGATCTAAAACAAAGAACTGCATGGTCCCGAAATACTCTTCTCTGAACTACGGTTTCCTATCGTGTATCTTCATCAACTTATCTTGACTGATGATCTAAAACAAAGAACTGCATGGTCCCGAAATACTCTTCCTTGAACTACGGTTTCCTATCGTGTATTTTCATCAACTTATCTTGACTGATGATCTAAAACAAAGAACTGCATGGTCCCGAAATACTCTTCTCTGAACTACGGTTTCCTATCGTGTATTTTCATCAACTTATCTTGACTGATGATCTAAAACAAAGAACCTGCATGGTCCCGAAATACTCTTCTCTGAACTACGGTTTCCTATCGTGTATTTTCATCAACTTATCTTGACTGATGATCTAAAACAAAGAACTGCATGGTCCCGAAATACTCTTCTCTGAACTACTGTTTTCTATCGTGTTTTTTCTTCAGCTTAACTTGACTGATGATCTAAAACAAAGAACCTGCATGGTCCCGAAATACTCTTCTCTGAACTACGGTTTCCTATCGTGTTTTTTCTTCAGCTTATCTTGACTGATGATCTAAAACAAAGAACTGCATGGTCCCGAAATACTCTTCTCTGAACTACGGCTTCCTATCGTGTATCTTCATCAACTTATCTTGACTGATGATCTAAAACAAAGAACTGCATGATCCCGAAATACCCTTCTCTGAACTACTGTTTCCTATCGTGTGTCTTCATCAACTAAACTTGACTGATGATCTAAAACAAAGAACTGCATGATCCCGAAATACTCTTCTCTGAACTACGGCTTCCTATCGTGTATCTTCATCAACTTAACTTGACTGATGATCTAAAACAAAGAACTACATGATCCCGAAATACCCTTCTCTGAACTACGGTTTCCTATCGTGTGTCTTCATCAACTAAACTTGACTGATGATCTAAAACAAAGAACGGCATGATCCCGAAATACTCTTCTCTGAACTACTGTTTCCTATCGTGTTTTTTCTTCAGCTTAACTTGACTGATGATCTAAAACAAAGAACCTGCATGGTCCCGAAATACTCTTCTCTGAACTACGGTTTCCTATCGTGTTTTTTCTTCAGCTTAACTTGACTGATGATCTAAAACAAAGAACTGCATGGTCCCGAAATACTCTTCTCTGAACTACGGTTTCCTATCGAACTACTGATGTCAGTTCTTCGGACAAACAAGGTTCCCCTGCGTTTGTGCCATAACTATGGTTTTCGTGAATTGCATATGTCTCAGAAATATACAATGTTTCCACTCTACTCGACCTGAGCCAGCATCGATGTGTTATAACTTCTTACCGGTTCAAGAAACATTACAATGATAAATACATCAATGGAACATCGAATGTCATTATCATACTTTGGGGCGGAGGGGTAGCCTAGAGGTGAAAGCGTTCGCTCGTCACGCCGCACATCCGGGTTCGATTCCCAACATGGGTACAATGTGTGAAGCCAATTTCTGGTGTCCCCGCCGTGATATAGCTGGAATATTTTTAAAAGCGGCGCAGATCCATTTCACTATTCGTGATCACACCAGAGGTTGATTTCGTTGAAGTCTATTGATCATAACATTTGCTATCTAGAATCATGGGGTAACTTTGTGTTTAAAGCGTTCGCTCATGGTGCCGAACATCCGGGTTCATTTCCCCACATGGGATGCCCAAGAGAAATATATGGTAACAATGCTGATGGGTGAACTACATTCATAAACAACAGTATCCCATGTGAAAAATGCCAAATTTCCGTCCCATGTCAAGAATTCAGCTGTATGATTGCATCAAATTGGTGTTAATATTATTTACATTCACATGCTTTTGAACGTCGGGTTTAAAGAGAGGAAATTGTGGTTCAGGTTATGAATTAAAAAAAGGGACCAGATATTTGATAAGTGTCATTTAGTCCCGAGGGTGGCGAGCTGATTTAGTGTAACGGAACATATTATATGCTTTTGCATTTGCTGGAATGGGTTGTCACTCCAGCGTCTGCAGATGGACATACACATGCCGATATCCAATATCGTCCTAAGAGCACTCTATGGCCTGTTGGGCGGTCGGGTAGCCTGGTGGTTAAAGCGCTCGCCCGTCATGCCGAAGACCTGGGTCCGATTCCCGACATGGGTACAATGTATGAAGCCCATTTCTGGTGTCCCCGCCGTGATATTGCTGGAATATTGCTGGAATATTGCTAGAAGCGGCGTAAAGCCTCACTCACTCACTCACTCACTCACTGCCCATTTCTGGTGTCCCCGCCTTGATATTGCTGGAATATTGCTAAAAGCAGCGTAAAACCATACTCAGGATCATATCTTACACAGGAAAAAAACAACTCTGGTTTTCAGTGAGCAGAACTTATAATTATGTACATAAATATGTCATGACAATATACACATATATTGATGTCAGTGGTCCATTCGCGTAGCCTGGGAACTCTTTCTGACATTTGAAAAATAAATAAATAAAAATATCATTTAATCTTTTACATTCCATTCGACTTTATCATGTACTCTTCGTTAATTATATTTGAATACTTGGGTAAAGAGTCATCGTCAGTGAAATCGTTTGAGTCCATATAGATGGAATGTATTTGTCCAACAAGCTTCGTGACACGTGTCTAAAACTCTATTCACAAAACTCAAGTCCTGTTGACTGGTCAAGCCGACAGCCGGACTGATATTGCGTGCGACGCTTGACGACTTTGTCGTAGTTGTTATTCGGGTAGTTCATTATTTTTCGCTTTTTGTGCCCCAGTTCAGTGGACTCAAAGACTGTTTTATTTTGTATTTTGTTGCCTTTGAAACTTGCCAGAGAGAAAACATGATTGGTAGAGACCACGACGCGAGGTAGCCAATCAGAAGAAGCGACAGATACAACACATAATTTCCAGGTTCTTCATTTCCGGCCAGAGCCTCGATCTGATAGTGAATATAAAATGGCAGCCAGAGTAAGGCGAACAAAACTGTTATATATCCAAGGAACTTCTGCATTCTCGTATCTTCCTTCAACTTCGTTTTCTTGCTGGTTACAGGTTGGTCAACTTGGGGGAGCGGTTCGGGTGTTTGCTTACAACATTCTTCCGACTGCTTTTCTAACATAAAGGCGTCGGAACTCTTGAGATCTTCACATTCCAACATGGCAGAATTTGGGTATTTGAGGTTATCCTCTTCATCGTCCTCTTTCTCACTGACCCGGATGTTCATTTCCATAGAAAAAGAATTAGTTTCCGGGGGAAATTCTCTTTCACGTGACTTAATCCTCACTTGAACTAAAACAGCTAGCACCATTATTGCTATGAACAGAGCCACATAAAACACGAAGAAAATACTTAAAACATATTCTTTGTTTTTCTCCTCAGCACCGGGACGAAGCACACATATTCCGATCCCTTTGAAAGCAGACCCCAGCACCGGATGTAAATCTATGTACCGTTTAAAAGCTGCATGTGGCGTTAGAATTGCTATCGCCAATAGCCATGATGTCACGTTACATGTCCAAGCAGGAATGGGGCTTTTAGCGTTGTGAACTATTTTCAAATAGCGGAATACGAACAGTGCAAGAAGGCCAAACACTGTCACGTGAATGGTGCACGGAAGTAGTACGGGCCACACGAAACACAGGAGGCTTCCGAGTCTCCAGTCCTTCACAAAGACTGTAGTTAATATCAAAGGTAGAACAATCATACACCGCACGACTTCCACAACGGCGAGATTTGCCACCAACTGAAACACAGATTGCTGATGCAGACGACGGCGCACGAGGATGACAACCAGAGCGATGTTGCTGATGATGCCAACGACACCGACGAGGATGAAGAAACAGGCAAAGGGACGCAGGAGATCCCGAGTAGACGCCCGGAGAACCTCGGAGGAGTCATTGTTCCGGGACAGCCACGTCCGCACCAGGTGCGAGTTTGGGTCGGTTGTCATGGTTACTGGCGTTC